AAAAAAAAAAAAAAAAAACCCTTTAAAAAAATAAAATAAAATAAAAAAATTTGAAAGGAGGGCCATTGAAACAGTGGTTTTTTGTTTGTTTGTTTGTTGGTTTTGGTTTTGGTTTCTCATTGAAGGTGTTTACGTGGCTCTTTTTTTTTTTTTTTTTTTTTCCTTCCTTCTCTTTTTCTCCTTATGTGTGTGGATGCATGCATGCATGGTTGTGGGCATGTATGCAGAAGGGGGGAAGGTGGAGGGTGGGAGGTGCCTCTATTCTCCGCAGGGATCTCTGAACTCATGTCACCTGCAGATGTCCGTTGTATCATTTTTATTTGGCTTCTTGCTCTGCACCTCCCCATCTTTGTTTTTGTTGTTTTTGTTTTTTTTCTTCTCTCCTTTGTGTATGTCTGTGCGCCCTTTTTTTTTTTTTTTTTTTGTTTGTTTGTTTGTTGTTTTGTTTTTATTTTACACGTTTGTATTTTTTTTTTTTTTTGTTTTTTTCCCGTATTTGTGTGTGGTGGGCCGGGAGGAGTGACGATCAAATTTTGCCGTGGTCTTTGAAATAAATGAGAGGAATGTACCACACGTGGGGTCTCTGGAGGGGGTGCCACACAGAAAGACAGACAGAGACACGCAGGCATTATATATATATGTGTGTGTGTGTGTGTGTGTGCAAATAGAGGAGAAGGAGAGGGAAAGGGGAGTGAGAAGGAATAATTTGTCTGTGTGATGGGTGCGTAGATGATATCTGTAGTGCACACACGTTACTATCATTATTAACATACAGAGAAAGACGGAATGACAGACAGACAGACAGACAGAGAGTACGTGTATCCGTGTATATGTGTGTGTTATTGTACGTGAGGGCGTAGGAGATGCATGAAACCCGTTATTGTTGTTATTATTATTTTTTTTTTTTTTTTTTTTTTCATGTGCACGTGGCTGTCGCCAGTGAATTACTCCTTTCCATCTCTTTTTTTTTTTTTTTTGTGCCAATTGACTTATGTCTCTTCACTCACTCTCATCCCTTCTCTCCGGTGCTGCTGCTGCTGCGCTTGTGTGTGTGTGTGTGTGATGTGTGCATGGTTACGGATGGATGGGTGCATGCATTCATATCCAATCCTTTAGTAGTGTGTGTGTGTGAGGGAGAGGGAGAGTTGCTTGAGTGGAGTCGGCCACTAACAACAGCAAGACCAAAAAAAAAAAAAAAAAAAGGAGGGGAAGGAGGAGAGGGGAGGGTTGTGTCTCAGACGGAACGCACACCTTCTTTGCCCTTTCCTTTTTTTTTTTTTTCTTTTTTTTTTTTATTGCGCGGCACCCGCGGCTCACAAACACAAACAAAAACACACACACGCGCGAGCAGTGTGTGCGTGGAAGGGAGTTGTGCGTGTGTGGCGGCAGGTGATTTAAAAAAAAAAAAAAAAAAATGGCCTCACGAAAACTTCTACTTTTTGGAGGAACGGGTTTTGTGGGGTCACATGTGCTTTACAAGGCACTCCAGCGCGGATGGAAAGTCACATGCGCATCGCGGGGTGGGCTGCCGCCAGTTGGATCCCCGCTGCTCGATGAGGCCGTCCTGCGGCATCACCACCCGCCGGAGGAGAACTCCACGGACGTTGCCGAGGACGCCACGAGGCAAATAACGCCGTTCCACAGCCCGTTGGAGTTTGTCTCGCTTGACGCCACAAGTCGTTCGCAGGTGTTCCACTTCATTGAGGACAATCCTGACGCCACAGCCGTTGTGAGTTGCATCGGGCTTCTGACGCGCGATCACAACGAGGCCAGGCGTGTCTGTGGCGATGCGAACGTCAACATTGCGGCCGCGCTATATGAGCGTGGCAAAGGGGTGCGGCGGATGGTGCTGGTGTCGGCTGAGCCGTACCACGAGGCCCTCCCTGTTCTTGGCAGCAGGTGGCTTCTAAAGGGGTATTTTTACGGCAAAAAAATTGCGGAGCGGGCTGTTTTGGAAAACTTGGGCGATCGCGGCGTTGTGCTTCGCCCCGGGTTCATCCATGGCACGCGTTATGTGCCGCTGGGGGAAGGATTTGTTCCGCTGCCACTCTGGCTGCTTGGACGCCCACTGGAGGCCGTCCTGCGACCATTGCACCGGGGAGGCGTACTGCTGCCGCCCGTGGACGTCGATGTCGTGGCGGAGGCGGCGGTACGCGCCATTGATGCCGATGCCCCTGTGGGGGTCATGGACTACGCCAAGATGCAGGAGCTCTGCGCGGAGTCGCAGCCGCGGGAAACCACCACCAAAGCGGAACAAAATTAGTCGTAGAAATGACACGGGCGTGTGTCTGTTATATGTGTGTATGGGTGAAATTTTTACGGAAGTTTCAAGTTATCGGTGGCCACTTTTGATGAGGCTCTTTCCTTTTGTTGTTGTTGTTTTTATTGGCCCACGAATACATTCAAAGTCGTTCACCCACCAAACCCTCTTTTACTCCCTGTTGTTGTTGTTGTTGTTGTTGTTTTTTTTGCCCAGTTGTTTTTGACTGCACTCTGTCCCTTTCCCCATGTGACGTTTTTTTTTTTCTCTCCACTTCATGTTGCTCTTCTCTCCTGACCCCTCCCACTAGAGCGAAGACGAAAGGCAATCAAGGCAAAAACATTCTCTAGATGCGTCGTCTGTCCCGCATGAAGGGTTTTTTGTCTCCAACTCTTTTCGTTCGTCATGGCAGCTCGTCATGGTGGCTTTCTCGGCTTCTCTATGGCGCCAATGCGTCCCCGCTCCTTGGCGAATGGGACACGGCAAATAGCAAGGAGAAGGGGAAGCTCGACGACGCGGTGCGGGTGTTGTACTGCAAGGCTCTTGTTCATGCAAGCGGAGGTGGGCGATTGGCGCGCGATTGGGTAGCCGGCTGCTCTGCTGTTGTGGGTGCCTCGGAAAAACTATTGGGTATTGCACTGAAGCACGACGGAACGGAGCAGGACGTGGAGCGCTACCGCGATTACCTCCTTACGACGCTCTGCAAGAGAATGCAGGAGGCGTCTAATGACGGAAATGGTACGGTCAGCAGCTCCATGAATAGTAGCAGTGGGGGGAAAGGAACGGTGTCGGCATCTTCAGAGGCCGGGAGTTTAGATGCCAAGGAGCTTGGCAACTTGCCGGAAGTGCGATGTTTTGTGTACGACGCGATGCGTGCGGCGAGCTTCCACCGCTACCACAAAGTGCCGGAGGAGGACCGGCAGCGGTTGTATGCCGTGGCAGAGCGTCTCGGTGTGGAAGAGGAAGTGACTCGCGGCATTTGGCAACTTGTGGAAAAGGAGGGGGCCGTTCAGCGGGAGAAGCAGCGGGCCCTTGACTACCCGTGGAGTGACTGAGCGGGAGAACGCCTGTGATGTGCGTTGTGTGATGTGTGCTCCAATTGCAATAATAATTATTAAAAAAAGAAAGAAAAAAAAACCGAGAGTTCATCCCTAAGCGGTGAGAAATGTATTCAGGGCGGTACAGTGCAGGGAGAGGATGGCTGTTTTTATGTTGTTGTTGTTGTTGTTGTTGTTGTTTTACTGCAGTCGCGGCACGTCACTTTAATCGTTCCTTCATCTCCCCGCACACATCCATGCATAAATACACACACAATCGTTTGTGTGTCTCTCTCTCTCTGTGTGTGTGTGTGTGTGTGTGTACATAATTATCATTCTCCTTGGGCCGCTGCTGACTGTAAAGAGGTGGGGGAGGTTGGGCATCTGCGGCGGGTGCGTGTTCCCCTATCTATATCTCTCTCTCTCACTTTTTCTCTCCTTTTTCTTTCTTCTCTCTTTATTTGTCAGTCTTTTCCAACCCTACACACACACACACACACCCTCATTAGTTCCGCTTCCCAAATTCCACATTACACGGAGTGACTGGTATTTATGCATGTGGCTTGTGTTCATTGATCATGACTACTTCTCTCTATCTCTTTTCCCCCCCCTTTTTTTTTTTTTTTTCTTTTTTGCTTCGCCTCTGTCGATGGGTGTAGAGCCTTATTATTATTTAAATTTAAATTTAAATTTAAAAAAAAAAAAAAAAAAACACAAGTTCAACACGCCATATCCATCCACATATCCATCACAACTGTGTTTCGGATCATTGACTCGTGCACGGCAGGAAAAAAAAAAAAGGTTGTGGAAAGGAGAGCGACGGTAGTAAAGGGCGTTTTGGGAACCGGCTCTTTTTTTTTTTTTTTTTTTTTTCTTCTTTTCAAGTCAAATGTCATCGCGCTACGACTCCCGAACCACCACCTTTTCCCCTGAGGGGCGTCTTTATCAGGTGGAGTACGCCGAGGAGGCCATTTCGCAGGCCGGCACGGTCATTGGCATTCTCACCACCGGCGGTGTCGTGCTGGGCGCGGAAAAGGGAGTGCAGAACAGTCTCTTTGACTCGGAAAACATGGAGGACAATAACATCAGCGGTGAAAAGATGTACAAAATTGCCAGTCACATTGGCTGCAGTGTGGCGGGTGTAACCTCCGATGCCTACGCGCTTCTCAACTACGCTCGACTTAGCGCGAATCGTCATCACTACACGTACCAAGAGCCGATGGCTGCGGAGGATCTTTGCCGGCTTTTATGCGATGAGAAGCAGTTGTATACGCAATACGGCGGGGTCCGCCCGTTTGGGGTTTCTTTCCTTTTGGCTGGGTGGGACCGCCACCATGGGTACCAGCTGTACCACACGGACACCAGTGGCAACTACAACGCCTGGCGCGCCTACGCCATTGGCCAGAACGACCAGGTGGCCCAATCGCTGCTCAAGAGGGACTGGAAGCCTGAGCTTACGCTCGATGAGGGGATTGTTTTGTGCCTGCGCGTTCTGGGAAAGACGATGGATACCGTCAAGCTCTCAGCCGAGCGTCTTGAAGTGGCTGTCCTGCACAAGGTGCCGGCGCCTGCAACGCAGAAGTTGCTGGACCCGTACGGTGTGTTGCCAAAGACGGTGCCGGAGTTCAAGATACTAAGAGAAACAGACCTCAAGCCGCTCATAGCAGAAGCAGACCGCCAGCGTGAGGCAGAGGAGGCGGCAGAGGCGGAAAAGGAAAAGAAGAAGGAGCAAAAGCTGACATCATCGTGAGCGGTCGATGTGAAAAAGTACATGATAGGGGAATAGACGCCGGAGAGGAGAAGAAAAGAAAAGAAAAAAAAAGAAAAAAAGAAAAAAAAGATCAAGCCAAAGGGAAGAGAAGCTCTCGACTACGCCGTGAGCACTGTGTGTGATGCACCCACTCACCCGCATCCTCTCTTTTTTGTCTGTTTCTGTGTGATTGCATGCATGGTTGGTGTGTAATCCCCGTTTGTTCTCCACACCTTTTCTTTTCTTTTTCTTTTTTTTTTTTTTTTTCTTTTCCCTTCTTCTTTTCGGTTCGGCGAAGAGGCGAAGTCGCAAAATTTAGCGCAGGCATTTCACCCGCAGGAACACTTGGAATTTAACAGACAGAAAGAGACACAAACGGTTGAACAGAACAAACACAAAATTTATTATTTGTTGGTTGGTTGGTTGGCAAATTTTTTTACCCTCTTGAAACTGAATTTCATTTCTTCCAGCAGTACTGGGCCCGCCTACTCGATCTTCCTTTGCTGCGTACATTGCTCTTGGATTGATATATCTATCTATATATATACATAAAGGGGGTTGTCTTGGAAAGGGTACTTAGATTTGAAAAAAAAAAGGAGTAAGGAAAGGCAAGGAAGTTAAGGGGGGAAACGGCTGTGTATACACATATATAAATACATAGATACCCTTAGCAGTCTTAGTTACGATAGGCATAGGGAGAAGGGAGAAAAGGAGGAGAAGGAGTGAGGCGTGAAGGTTTAGGTGACAGGAAGGGAAGTTGTTATGAGTCCCGGTGGTGAATCAAACTTTCAGACACTGGTACGGAGGCGTAATCATGTGGGACCTGTTTTTCATCCAACCTTAAGGCGCACGCAGGAGGTAATTCGACGGCCGGAATGGGTACGGCGTGCTGGCGAGGCAGTTGCCCATCGCGGATCGGTTGGAATTGTGGGTCTCTTTGCATTGATGTTTGCGAATTGCTTTGGTGGCGGCTACGGCTTTGAGGACACAGTTGGCGCAGCGGGCCCGCTTGTGACACTTGTGGTGTGTCTTATTTTGCCATGGGTCTGGTCCCTGCCAACGGGTCTGGCGGTGGCGGAACTGTCCACAGCAGTGCCGAGCAACTCGGGGGTTCTCATGTGGGTGAATGCAGCCTTCCCACCTTATGTCTCGTTCTTTTGCATTATCACGACAGTGTTCATTACATTTGTGGGCAATGCAACATATCCCAGTCTTACCTCTGCGTATGTGACAGGAATTGTGTCTTTGAACAAGGGCGCAGAAGTTGGTGTAAAGATTGGAGTTATTGTCTTTTGTTGTGTTCTCAATTGCTCAGGCATTGAACTTGTCGGATCGGCCTGCGTGGTGGTGTGTGTGGTCGCCATGATGCCATTTTTGATACTTTCATTTCAGCAAATATTTACCCACGGCCTTGATGGTCAAGCCATTGCGCATGTAAACGCGTCAAGTATTGACTGGGCATCGTTTTTAAGCATGGTGACGTGGAACTACGCCAACATTGAAAATGCGGGGGCGATGGTTGAAGAGGTATCGAATCCAAAAAAGACATTTCCGATCATGATGGTGCCGCTTATGTTTTCTTCCTACATTGCATATCTGCTTCCGATGTTGGCTGGGGTCAGCGCGCTTGGTCCTCATCAGAATTGGGCCGACTGGCAAGCAGGGCGTTGGCCACAGATCGCATACATCATTTCTGGAGATTGGTTAAAGTACTATCTCTTTGCCGGGTCCATCGTGAGTGGAGTGGGTTTCACCCTGACGTCGATGTGCTGTACAAGCCGCTTGTTGGCAGGCATGGGCACGATGGAGATGTTTCCCAAGAGGATCTCACGTATCATTGGGTATTATCACCCAACCATTGGCACGCCGATACCAGCAATTGTGTTGAATGCGACCGTGACGTTGATTTTCTGTGTCTCCTTTGATTTTGGTGATGTTGTGGCGATGTGTCAGTCACTTTACTGTCTGCGCATGTTGCTGATTTACGCCTCCCTTATTAAACTGCGCATTGACCACCCAGATCTACCGCGGCCCTATGCCCTGCCCTGCAACACCGTCGCTGCTGCACTCTGTCTTGTGCCATCGGCTATCTTTTGTTTTGCTGCCGCCATCGTCTCTTCCATGGTTTCCCTCGCGATTGGATTGTCGCTTGTTGCATTCCTCATTCTGGTGGGAATCGGGTCGTACCTGTACTGCCGCTATGTCGCCCGTAACGGCTTCCAGGGGGTGATTGTTCAATGCGAGGCCTCGGATGACGATGACGTCCCCGCTGAGGACGATGGGGAGGGCCCCCCGCTGAGCCGGGGCGTCTTTTACAACGATGGTTACGACGAACGGCAAGGCGAACTCATTTTGGGCATATTTCCCACCGGTCAGTGCCCGTCGCCGATTGGAAATGGCTCCGGGACGGCGACGGATGTCACTGGGGAGCCCGAGAAGACGTTTAGCGGCGGAGGCTTCGGCCGCACGTCCCCGACTGGCATGATGAGTTCATTCAGCGCGCAACGTGAGATGACGGGCCTCTACGATCTCCCAACCACCAACGGCAACGATGACGAGAAGCCCGCCCGTCCAAATGGAGAAGGCCGGGGCTTCACAAACTAAAACGCCGGCACCTCCTGCACTGAAGCAAATGCCCACACATAAACATCGGCGGATGAAGGGTGGCACATGAGGCCTCTCGCACACGGCTCCTTTGCCGTGACTCCTGCCGCAATAATTCACGCAGTGAATGGATGGATAAATGAATTGCACGCACTTTTGCGTACCAGCAATTTTGTCCTATTCCAAATTCTTGTCAGTAAATATATATATATATATGAGTCTGACGGCAATACAAGGCTCTTTTTTTTTTTTTTTTTTTTTGTGTCTGTCTGTTTGTTTGTTTTTGTTTTTGTTGTTACTTTTGATCTTTGCTGATTTTAGAAGGAGAGAGAGAAAAGAAAAAAAAAAAAAAAAAAAAAAAAGGGAGTAGGAGATTCAAATGGATTCCCAACAAACAAACAAACAAACACACACTCAAAAGAGAAAAAAAAAAAAAAAACTGCCTGGAAACGCATATAATGCAATATTTGGGTGTACGTGCATGTTTATTTATGGATATATAGATATAATATGTCCCTGTAAATATAAATATAAATAAATATAAATGCATGTAACCTTCCCCCCTGCCTACTTTATTATTATTATTATCTCTACATGTGCGTATTGACCGCTGCGATGCGCAAAATAAGCGGATGTAATTTTATTGAGTCACCGGAGGTGGCGGGGGGAGATGTCACGAATGGGAGGAATTGATAGACAAGCGTAAAGAAAAAAGTAAAAGAAAAGAAAAGAAAAAAGGGTAATTTTTAAAATAAATGAGGTTGATGAAACACGTCCGTTTAAGCACTGAAACCAGGCACACACACAAAAAAAAAAAAATAAATAAATAAATAAATAAGAGGCATGCGTGCTTAAAGGAATAAATGAGGACATATTAAAGCAAAAAAAAATTTTTTGTTAGTAACGGGGGGGGGGGGAGAAGCGTAAAAAAATAAATAAATAAAAATAAAGAGATAATAGAAAATGAGAAAATAAAATAAAATAAAATAAACAAAAAAAAAAGTGGATTAAAATGAGGTAGATATTTAATTTACGGTCCGTTGGAATTTACTTCTGTGTGGGTGTGGGAGGGGAGTGTTTTTGCCATGCATGTAAACTGTCCGTGTGTGTGTTTGTGTTTTTTTTTTTGGGCGTTACGTTCTCTGGAGGGAAATAATGGGAGGGGGGAAGTGCTGGCGACCGTACGCCACGGTCCGGTTGTATTTGCAGCCATGAAAGATGTCGGTGGAAATTTACTTCCGTCATTGCTCCGAACCTCTCCTCAGATGTCTTTTCGTGCCTTCTCTTTCTTTCTTTCTCTCTCTCTCTCTCCCTCTGTTTGTTTTTTTTGTGTGAAGAGTTGGAGGGGGGAGGAGGGCGGTCACCGCATGTGCGTCACGGGGACAGTTGGGGCCTGTGAGTCGCCGCCAACTGGGAGACTCGTTAGAAGCCGCGGGATGTAAACATCGGTGGCGTCCTGCGTCCAACGCAAAAAAAAAAAAAAAAGGGAAAATTCACGGCACGTTGAGAACGGCCCTGCATGTGTGGTGTCACTTGCGGAGTTGTTGGGAACATGTCGTCGTGATATGCGCTCATAAAACATTTGGTGGCGGTGGTGGTGGTGGTGGTGAGTTTGGTGTTTGTTCTGTCCAACCTGTTGATCAACCTTCCGATGGCACTGTAAAGGTGTGCATGTTAGGCATCCCGTGTGGTTAGAAGGGAACGGAAGGTGGAGGGAAAAAACTGTGGGTGCTTCCTTCTGGTTTTGGAGGAAAGGGCGGGGTATTTTTTTTTTTTTTTTTTTTTTTTTGGCTTCTCCGTCAGCAAATTATGCAAGTGTATGCGTGTGGATTATCTATCTTTGCTGCGTTCTCGCCTTACTTCTTCTCTTTTCCCCTTCATATGTGACGTGGCTACTCACAGGGAGAAATCATGCAAGCAGCGGAGGAAAAGGAAGAAAAAGGAAGAGGGCAAATGCGAACCCCACGCGGGAACGCACCGCCCTCCCTGGTCAGAAGGAAAATTAAGCAGACACACGCCTACACTATTCGCGGACCTACGACAAACACATACTTCACGCTTCGTGTGATCGCTGATACCGCCGCCGTGCCGCCACTGCCCCGTGTGGCAGCAGCAGTTTCCCCTTCCGCGTCCACCTCTAGAGCGAGAGCGAGGGGGCAGAAGTCACTCCAAACATTACCATCCCAAACCTCATCAAAGTCGTCCCCCTCGTCCGTGCTTCCTCAGCTGTCCTCTCCCCCCATGTCCACCTTGTGGCAACCGCCCTGCGTTCCGCTGGAGCACCGCTGGCGTTTCATCCGGAAGGAGGAATTTGGCCTCGTGCGTTCTCCGCGTGGAACAGAGGCGATGGCGATAAATCACGCGTCAAGGAACGAGCCGTCCGCCCTGCGGCGCCTGGCCGAGGAACATTCACTCTTCTCCACGCATCCACCGTGCAGAAGACGGCCGCAGTCGTCATCAACGGATCGACCTGAGGAGGAGCTAGCGACGCAGCAGATTCAGGATATGAGGCTGAGGACGTGGGGGCTGCGGCGAGGGTGGCTTGAAGAGATGCTGCAGGATGACGATGGCGTTGGTGACACAGGTACGGAAGAAGCTTCTCCGGCAACGGATCCAAGCCCCCTCGGCAATGCGGACGGGACCGTGCGCCCAACACCACCGGTCTTTTTAGGCATTAAATCCGCACCAGCAATGAACGCAGCCAGTGAAGGGACGGCAGCGACGACGACGACGACGGGAGCGATGATATTAGCGGCGGATGGGGATGGGGATGATGTCAGCGGCAAGAACGCCGCACGAGGTGGGAATATTCCCGGTGGAAGACGCCTCTCCATCCCGCCACCACCTCCACCTCACTCAACGGCAACAGAGACAGCTGACGGCAAAACCCCTCGTCCAGTGTCCACGATCGCAGTTGCGGCGCAGCGTCTCCGTGACAAGTTGTTGACGGCCTCCTTCCAGAGAATGGTCAATGATCTCGCGGAAACGCATGCGTACACTCCAGAAGAACAGGTGGCGCTCTTCCGTCACGCCCACATATTCCGTGAACTTCCGCTTCAGTCACGCTACCACGAGATGCACCCAATATGTGATTTGCGTCCCGCCAGCGAAGATTTTCTTCCGGTAAAAGATTTCAACGCCGCCGCGCGTGAAAATAAAAGTACGGCTTTTCGTCAGAGGCGGCAGAGGCGACAGCAGCAGAATGAATGTGCGACGACAGGACTGTTAGGGTAAAGCATGGCAAAAGCAACGGCGAAATGTGCACCAATCCCAGCCACTTAGGATGGAATGGTAAAGGGAGATGGAAGGTGGCAGTGCGAGTAATTTCGCTGTGGAAGGCGTAGGAGTTGCCGTGGAGTAAAGGGAAAAGTCGTGTATCACTACCTCTCTCTCTCTCTCCCTCAGTTGCTTTAGGTCCAATATATATATAATGGACATATGTATGCTTGTATGTAAGAAACACGAGGGTACATTGAAAACTGGAATTTCCAAAAGACTTGTCTCTGTTTTGTATTGTTTTGTTTTTATTCATTGTGTTTATGCAATGCCGTTTTTTTTTTTTTTTTTTTTTTTTTTTTTGCTTTTCCGTATTTGCTCATCGCTATCATCACCATACATGTATGTACGCCTATCCACCTGTCTTCCCCCCCCCACTGCAATGGGTGCTCTGTACGGATAATACGTTGATGATTGGATGATGGTGGCGGTGATTGCACTCTTTTTTACTTTTTTATATTGCGAATATGATGCTGCATTACACACGCGCACCCTATTGTACACAATTTCCTCCACGTGTCTCTCTTTCCATACTTTTTTTTTTTTTTCTTTTTTTTCTTTCCCCCAACCCCTTTTTATCATTTATCATATTTGCTGTTTGATCACTTGCTTGTGTCTTGTTTGTTTATCTGCTTACTTTCTGCCTACTGTTTTATAGTTATATATATACATATATATATACATATATATACATCCGTGGTGCACGTGCGTGTGAAGGGGAGATGCGAGTTGTGGAAGGAAAACAGAGGAGCAGAGAGTGCGCATATATACACATCCGCCTATTTAAATATATATATATATATACACCCTGGAAATTGTAATTCTTCCTTTTTCTGTGTGTGTGTGTGTGTGTTTTTGCTTGTCGTGTCCCCATCTTCTTCCCCCACATTTTTTTTCATGCGTGTCTGCTTTGGACATCTTGCCGGAAGGAAGGAAGGGTGAAAGATAAGTAATTTTTTTTTCTTATATATTTTATTTTATAAACAGACAGACAGCGATTGGACGGCGCTGTGCGTGTTTGTGGTAACACACAAACAAACAAACAAATAAAGAAACAAAAAGGCAGGCGAAGAAACAAAAAACAAAAACAAAAAAAAAAGTTTTTAAGAAAAGGACGCAACGGCAGCTCCGCCAGCGTTTGGGAGAAGGCCAAAAGAAGAAGGACAGAAAAGCGGTAGGAAAAGACGGAACCGAAGGAAAAGGGGGGAGGAACTCTCTGTATTCCTTTTTTTTTTTTTTTTTTTGTGTGTGTGTGTTTAAATTCCACCCATATATCGCCTCCGGACAGCAATGGTGGGCGAGAAAGAAGGGCAGCACCACCACCACCACCACCAGCAGCAGCAGCAGCAGCAGGAGGAGGGGGTTGGTGGCACGTTGAGAGCCTTCGTGCCGTTGATTCCAGTGGCGCAGAACGCCAATCCCACCCCAGAGTCCCCGTTCCTCCTTTCACCCGAGAAGGACCGGCGAGGGGAATTTGCCGCAGCAGGAGTTGATGACGACGATGATGGTTACAAGAGCTCCGCCGAACAGACACCACGTCACGGCCGCACCGGTGGCGGCGATGGTGGTGATGATGATAGTCATAGTAGTATTTGTAGCCAGAGCAGGAGCTTTGGGGCACTTAAGGAAAGCACGAGAAGTGCTGATGATGGAGATGACAGTATGAAGGAGGGAATTAAGAAGAAGAGTGTGATTGGTAACGGCATGGACGGGAAAAAGCGGTGGACAAGTGAAATGGAGGCAACGGACCCTATAAGGGACGACGATGAGGATGACATTAGCACAGAGGTGACAAGGAATGGAAACATACATGCAGTACGAGGGGACTTCCAGAGTATCAAGAGTAAGATGACATCCCCCGTGGGAGGGAGAACGTCGCAGAGGGAAGCGATGAGTCGACCGGACCTTTGGCATTCTGACGGTGGCGTGAAGGATTTATCGTCATCACGCGAGGAAGTGGGCGGCGGTTGCCCATGTGCTGACCATCACCCGCTTCCCATGTACAACAGCGATTGTTTCCTTAGAACGTCAGGTCAGGATGAGGAGGAGGACGAGGAGAAGAAAGAGGAGGAGGAGGAGGAGCAGCCAGTAGTGAAAAAGCGGAACAAGAAATGTGCTTTTCGTAGTTTCCGAAACTGTGATAAAAACGAGGGAGGTGGGCGTGGCGAAGTGCGTCGATGGCGCACGATGAATAGCCGCCCGACGACTGCCTCGGGTTTGTTGGGTGCCGGGGGTAGCGGGGCAACGACGGTGAAGGTTGATAGACGGATGGATTCTTCCACCGGCGGTATGGGATCCATTGGCGGTCATCACTTAACCATTCTGGAGGGTGGTGTATTCATGAAGGAATCATGCTCCCACCGTGAGGAGCGCTTTTATGAGATGCTAAAGCCGGTGCAGGACTACGTCTGGCGTCACCCGGAGCTACTGGAGACGTTTTATCCGCTTTCCTCCTCCTCCTCCTCCTCCTCGGAGTGCAGTAATGATGCCATGGAGAATAGTGATGAGCAGCAACGCGGAAATGGAAAAAAGGGCGAGGAGGGAAAAAAGTTGGATCGGCAACATTCCGCCTCGACCCAGTGGAATTGGTGGCGGCGACGACGTCGATTATCTGAGGTGACACGTGGGACACCCGACATGCATTCTGAAAGCACCCCCAGCCCGGAGGGCGGGAGCTCACGGGAGAGGGACACGGTAACGGCAGTCAGTGAGGGGCGACATTGGGATGTTCTCATCCCGCTTGTGCCGTTCGTTCCGCGATACATTGGCCTTCGCCGCGTGCTTCTGGAGACGGATGGGGTTAGTACCAAAAAGAGTGAGTGGGTCCCGTCGTCGGCCGGCGCACAGGACGGGACACCCATGCAAAGATGTTCTAGCACACTAGCCACAAGCCGGGCCTTTGAAAAGGAAGGAAAGACAGAAGAGGGAAACTTTTGTCAAATGATCGTGCTGGAGGATTTATGCAAAGGTTTTCTGCATCCCTGCATCCTTGACATCAAGATGGGCAGTCGACAGTATGGGATGAATCCGTCCGAGGCAAAGCTACGTAGCAAGGAGCGCAAGGCGATGCTTTCGACTTCTATGCAGTACGGTGTGCGGCTAGCGGGAATGAAGCGCTGGTGCCCCGACACGCAGCAGTACGAGACACGGTCAAAAGTTGCCGGTCGAAATTTGACACTGGAGGAGCTGCGGGAAACGATCTCCCGCTTTACGCAGTGTAGCAAACGCCTGCGGTATAAATTTCGCAAGCAGGTTCGACGGTTGCGTTGTGCCTTCATGAATCAAAACGTTTTCCGCTTTTTCACGTCCTCGTTGCTGTTTGTGTACGACGCCGATCGCCCGCTGCTTTCCTCGCGCGTTGTGATGGTTGATTTTGCCTTCACGTACGAACGGGAGGAGTTGCAGCGCGGTGGGGACCCCGAGGCGACGTACGAACGGGATTTTGGGTACATCAAAGCCCTCGATACGATGCTTACGATACTCGCCTAACGACATGACGCACCGCGAGGGGAGGTATGGAGAGAGAGAGAGAGAGAGAGACGCCTCAATTGAGGGGAAACATGCGTCACCCAGAAGAAGACATGAGAAGAGAACAAAATTACCTTTTTTGTGTTGTATATGTATATATATTTATATATATATTTATATTTAGCTTTAGAAACACTGCAAGCGAATTGCAGTGGATGCGTGCAACTACCAGGACGTGCCTGCGCTTCATTCCCTCTTTTTGCTTTTGTTTTTGCTATTCCATTTTTTTCTTTTTTTTTTTTTTTTTTTTTTTTTTTTGCGTTTTTGTCGGTCTTCTTCCGTCTGTTTGTGATGTATGCTGGTATGTATGTTGTGGTATGTGCGTTAATCGTGGGGGGTGTTTCTTTGGGGGGGAGGGGGGGGGCCGAAGGCACAGACGGAGAGCGATGGGAAGAGACACGGACGAGTTTAGAATTGACGGGGGCAAAAAGAAAATGAAGAAAAAAAAAAAAAAAGAAGTGATTTTTAGGCAAAAAAGAAAAAGTCTTTTTTTTTTCTTCTTCTTCTTCCCTTATCGATTGTGGTTGCCATGCATCTTTTCCCCGAACCCAAACCCCACCCATCCCCTTCGCTCCCAGGCCCCATTTTGAAAGGGGGGAGGGTGATGGAAAAATAGGAAACCAACCAATAAGCCGCCTGCACATGTTCCATTATATTCTGTGTGCACACGCATATGACATTGTCCGTAATGAATAATAAATATAATATATATATATATATATATATATACAGACGTGTTGATGGGATGGACGGGTGTTGGAGACAGAGTGGGAAAAAGGGGGGAAAGGCTGTTTGTTTGTTTTTTGTGCGTACGTGCGGATTCATTCACTCCTTTTTTAGCTCGGGTCAATACGTTTTTGTTGTTGTTGTTGTTAGCCCTCACGTACACACACACGGTTAAATATATGTATATATTGCAGACGGATATCTTATTCCCCGTGCACCACAGACATTTAACAAAAAGACGATTACTGCACATGTGAACACCGTTAATATTTGTAACTAAAGTGTGAGACACGGAGCGGGGCGGGGGAATGTATTTAATTGTGGCCTTTATTGTTGCTGGATAGCTTTTTTGTGGGGGGTGGTTTTTTTTTTTTTCTTTTTTCCACACACTTCCCCTGCAGTTGTTTGTTTGTTGCTTTAATTGTGTTTGTGTGTTTGTGTTGCCCATCTCTGTGCTCACACATGGAAGCCTGTAGAGAGGGAGTGTACATCTGGATGAGACAAAAAAAAAAACGATAGTGTGTCTCTTGTGTTCTCTTGTTTTTTCTTTTTTTTCTTTTTGTTGTTGTTGTTGTTTGTGAATTCAGTTTTTTTTTTTTTTTTTTGTTTTGTTTGATTGTTTTTTAAACGCTTCCCGCGTTTGGGAGGCAACTCGAGTGCAGTTCTTTTGTTTTGTTTTGTTTGTTTCTTCCCGCCACCTCCCACCACCCCACCACCACTCCCCTGTGGGAAATGTGCATGGCGCCGAGGCGTGTATGTATGAGTGTGTATTTGTGTACGTTTTAATTTTTTTTTTTTTTTTTTTTTTCGTGTTCTTCACAGAAGGAACAAAACAGGAACGAAAAGAAAGGAAAAAAAAAAAAAAGAGAGGAGACAGAGAGAGACAATGAAGGGATGCAGGCAGCGAACTTTGAGTTTGCAGTCAATGGACTTTTTTTCTGTGGGGGGTTATTTCTGATTTTTGTGTGTGTGTGTGGGGGTGTGTGTCTTTTTGGCCGTATGGTGCCGTGTCCCTTTTCTTTTCTTTTCTTTGTGTGTGTTTGTGTGCTTATCTCCCGCTCTCCCATTTTATTCGGTGTGTTCGCCGGTGTCCTGCCGCGGCTCTGAACATTGTGCCGTGTTTTGTGACTATTTGCCTCCATTGGCCAATCTCTGGTGATGCGTTTATCTCCTTCTCCTCTTGCGTGTGTGCCCGCATTTCTGCGTGTATAGTCGAAGGACGTCGGTTGGTTGGGAGGCGACATGTATATATATATATATATGCATATACACATGTATGTATGTATGTGTGTGTGCATTATATGGTGTGCAGACGCTTTTCTTCTCTCCCTTCTTATTTTTCCTTTATTGTGCCCGCTGCACACATGCATGCAAAATTAGATACATTACATTATAAATAAACAGTTTTTACTACCATTCTTATTTTTGGCTGGAGAAGGCCTGTGGACATCACTACCATTGAGGATGTTCAATCTCTGTGTGATGGGCTCGGCCCCAGCCACTGTCAAGGAACAGGTAGAGCGCGCCCTGTTGGCCGCGTACGTTCCCGCGCGATTTATGTTGACTCGGTTAGAAGATGTAAAAGAACGAGAGGATCACGGCCGTGTAATGTCACAATCGTTTCGACTTCTTCTCGAGGCACACGACGCTCCTCCCACGAACCCGCAGGAGATGCCATATGACTGTCGCTTTTTCTGGACGCCTGAAAGCACAACGGACGAAGTTGTTACGGAAGTGAAGTCGCTGCTTGACGGTCGCCGGTTTATCTCAACACGCGGCGTGGTAGACGTGTCAACCAAATTTCTGAGTGTTGTGCGGGACGGTCTGGCACCGAATAGCGGCCTCTTTAACCTTCAAAGCATCCCACAAATGGCAATGTCGCAAATGCGTCACTTTTTTACGACTTCCACGCTGAGTTACGTTGAGGGGGCACAACTTGTGCTGGAACGGCTTGTGGACACCACCATGCAGCCAGAAAAACTACGCATGTTACTCATGGAGGCATACGCGCCTTGTCGCTGGAGCGGACTGAGTGACGTGTGCCCTGTCACGCCTTTGCTCCTCGATGAGACTGAGAATCATAAAGCCATGGATGGTCATCATCATGGCGCTAACAAAGAAACGGGTGCAGCAGCCGATCCATGTTGGCGTGACATGTCCCTGATGGAGCTCTACCATGGGCCTACAGCAGCCTTCAAGGACTTTGCTCTGCAGCTCTTCCCCCGTTACTTTGACATTGCAGCATCCAACGAGTGTACCGACACCCCGCCCTCGTACGTCATACTCACGGCAACATCTGGTGATACGGGTGTGGCTGCCATCAGCGGCTTTGTGAACGCCGGAAGCCCCACGCGCGTCATGGTGTTGTACCCCCTCCACGGCGTATCCCCTGTGCAACAAATTCAAATGTTGTCCTACGATAATGGAGCATCTGTGCGCGTTTACGGGGTGAAGTCGGACTTTGATTTTTGTCAGTCCACCGTGAAGCAACTGTTCGCCAAACGATCGCTGGCGCAGCGACTGTGGAGCGACAAAAAAATCCGGCTCTCTTCCGCCAATAGCATCAATTGGGGTCGTCTCGTGCCGCAAGTGGCATATTACTTTTGGGCGTACCGTCAATTTGTGCAGAAGAGGCGTCTACAATTTGGCGATCCTCTAGACGTTGTTGTCCCGTGTGGAAATTTTGGTAACATCCTTGCGGCCTTCTTTGCAAAGCGGATGGGGCTACCGCTCGGCAAGTTGGTGGTGGCCTCAAACTGCAACGATGTGCTCTTTGAGTTTGTAGAGACTGGCCATTACGACATTCGCCAGCGACACCTGGTGCAAACGGCATCGCCTTCTATTGATATTTTAAAGGCCTCCAACGTGGAGCGGCTTCTCTTTTTGATCTCAAATGGAGATGCGGCATTTGTGGCGGCGCAAATGCTTCGGCTGGAGACGGAGAAGCACTTCACCTTGCAGGGGGACGCACTGAATGTCATGCAGGACGTTTTCTGGTCCGCCCGCTGCAGCGAGGCGGAGTGTGCTGCAACGATCAAAGAAGTGTATGAAGCCTCAGCCGGCCGCCTGCTGGACCCACACACTGCCGTTGCTGTCTTTGTGGCGAGGCAATTTCGTCGGTTCCAGCTGGAGAAGGGTCTGTCGCATCGTCCGCTTGTCATCGCGAGCACGGCCCACTGGGCCAAATTTCCTGGATCCGTGCTGCGTGCGCTGCGTGGTGAAGAAATGGCGTATGGCATCACAACTTCGGTCGGAGGGCGGGTGAACCCCGTGCGTGCCTGCAGAGAGTTGTATGATGAGATTCTTGCGCATTGCCCGGGCGTCACAGTCCACCCTGCGCTGAACGCCGCACTGGCAGCAGCCGAAGCGAATGCGTTTTCACCCCGTGAAGTTGAGGCAGACGTGTCCCGTGTTGAAGAGGAGCTCCTGCAGTTTGTCTCCGTGAAGTCTGCCTGAAGATTATCTGAGGTACTACGGGCGCCTGTCGTGTTTATATACAAACATGTATGCATATGAAGAAGTGGCGATCATTTGCTGACAATACACATCTTCTCTCATTTCCACCGTTTCTTTATTTTTTATTTTTCTTTTTTTTTTTTTTTTTCTTTCTGTTTGTTGTTGTTGTTGTTGAGAGAAATAAAACATAATTGTAATGTGAGGACAGCCAGTCATAGCGATGTCGCCTTTTTCTTCGGTATTTTCTTTGCCCGTCTGTCAGTGCGTCTATCTGTAATACGCCTGTCTCATTCTACCGCTATGCATGCATGTTTTTACCGCCAGACGCATGAAACATTTCTTTTGTTGTTGTTGTTTTGTTTTTTTGGCTTTTTTTGAAGTAAAAGACGCCTGCCCCATTCCCAAAGGAAGCGAAAAAGAATATATATATATATATATATATATATACGAGGAGAGGCTTTTTTTTTTTTTTCCTCCCCCCTTTTGCGAGCGTGACTGTAGAAGAGGAAAGAGGGGTGGCAGGTGTTAGTCCTGACGCGCACTAACTCTTTTTTGGCTCATTTTTTCCTTTTTTTTTTTCTCTCCCTTTTCTTTTATTTATTTATTTATATTTTTTTTTCTTCTCTCCTGTTCAGATACATGAGATGGCTGGTGGCTCTGTTCAAGCGGGGTTAGGGCCTTCCACGCTGTGGGGCCACTTTGTTGCTGTGGATATCACTCGCACTTTTTGTTCCCTTTACGCCGAGAAGTTGTCTGCTGTATGGGACCGACGAGAATTTTCCACGAGGTTGGCAGCTCTCATGCGGCAGTGGCGAGCCGAACATTGGGATGACATCTTCATTGGTGCTGCTACGAGGCGCGGTGTAAATAGTGATGGAGCTCGACGAAGCAGAAGGCGCACGGACGACAATACGGCTGATGCGGCGGGGAACGCGGGGGAGTTGCAGCGGTGTCAACGTGGTGTGGCAATGTACTACGAGTCTATCCGTGTGCAGCGTCTGATGGACGAAGTGCTTTTTATCCGTGACTTGGAGGAAGAATGTGATGAACTGGAATCGGATAAAATAAGGAGGCGTGTGCTAAGGCGGCGGCGAGGATTAATTCGTGCCGTGGACGAAGTCTGGCGCGCTGGAAAGGATGCTGCGGACTTTCTCCTTCCAGTTACAGAGAGGGAGGCACCGTTGTATTATCGCCGTGTGAGGCAGCCAGTCTGTATCGCCAGCATCTACTGCAGCGTGTGGGATGCGGAAGTGGAAGACTACGCGGGACTGAAGGCTCTCTTTACCCTCATGCGGTCCAACTGCGAGTTGTACAACGGCGCTGGGAGTCCACTCGTGGCGGCGTGCCAGGGGCTCGTCCGTGTTGGGTTCCGCGCGGCGCGGGAAGCGCAGACCGACGAGGAGCAGGAGGAAGTGCAGAATGGCAGCCTTGTCATTCCCAATTCATTGTTGCTAGAAACGGCAAACGGCAGTGCCATCGGTGGCGGTGTTGGTGGCGACGGGAGAAAACTTTTCCCTCCTCTTACGAAGGAAGAGTTGGCTTGGATGTTCCCGCCCCGATACGAGGCTTCGCAGTCGCCTGTTGATGGCGGCCGTTTCACTACCGCAGAAGCGGCAGGGGGACGAAACGAAAACAATGCTGGTGAGCCGAGGCGCGTTTTGCGGCTTATTCGCCGGTCGGACACACACGAGCCGGATGGATCGGGTGAAGGGACGGCCGCCCGTACGACGCTAGTGCGACGCTTGACGCTGCGTCGGACAATGGATGCCGCCCCCGTTGTCGACGCTTCTGTCCCCTCCTCCAACAAGGAGGAAGTGGAGAAGAAGGGTGACAAGAAACCGACCTCGACAGTGGGGAGGAAGAAGAAGAAAAAGCCGCAGGAAGAGGAAGAGGCGGTGGGTGATGATGATGAACAGGAGGTGACGTACTGGATCCGCTGCGACCTCTGTGACAAGTGGCGTATTGTGCCGGATAAAATTGAGCCCCTCCCGGAGTACTGGGACTGCTCCTTCGTTGGCATGAAATGTGGCCCGTTGAAGAGGCGGCGGGAAGGGGAGCAGCCGCCTAAAAAGGGGCAGAAGACGCAGCCTGGCCGAAAGAAAAAACGAGATGAAGAGAATGCACCAAAAGAAATACGATGGAAAAGAGGAGGGAAGAGGAAGCCACAAGGAGAAGAATTGGCGCTGAATGATAACGGCAAAAAAGCGGGTGCGTCGACACTTCCACGGGCACATGCTTCTAGTCGGAAGGAAAAGAAGGCCTCACGCCCAGCGGCAACACGGAAGCGCCGTGCGAGTCTATCCCCATCCTTGTCTTCCTCGTCGTCATTCTCCTCATCTGACTCAACAGGGAGCAGCAGCGACAGCGATAGCGACAGCGACAGCAATGACTCTGAAACTCCACCGCGTCGTGGACGTGGTCGTAAACCCCGCCAGACACCGCAAAGGATTCGCGGTGCAAAGCGCCCTCGTGCCACCAGAAACTTGGCTCGGGATGATGACAGTGACAGTGAGAACAGCGCGTCACGGCCCTGTCCTGCCGCCAAGGCCACAACCCCCGCCTTGACACTGGAGAAGCTCGTGGAACTTGAGGAGGCCATGGACGAGGTGGATGCGATGCCGCTTGAAGATCAGAATCCCAAGGAGATCCTCGCAAGACTTCGGAGCATAGAGAAATGTTTGCAATGAAGAGGGAACGGCGGGGAAGGGAAAGGAAGAAAAGAGAAAAAAGGAAAAGAGGGAGGGAATGAGACAAGGGAGTGTGAGTGTGAGGAAGGATCACTGAACACACCTGTCCTATGCTGTTGTTATATATATATATATACATTCCCCTTGTACACCCAGAGGCGTTCGCGGGTGTAGAAGTGTTTGAGGGCTTTTCTTTAAATATGCCTATTCTTTTTTTAATTTCTTGCACCTTTTATTTCCGTCTTTCTTTCTGTCTGTGTGTGTGTGTGTGTGTTTGAGTACGTGCGTGAATTCATTACTTTTTGTGTTTTCTTCTTCTCTCTCTCTCTGTTTCGTCTTTGTGATTCTCTCGTTATGGCTGGCAATGTGTCTGCTCTCGGAGAGGAACCAACCCATTCATCCACTCCCTAGAAACGCTGAGTGGCGGAGTGAAGGCGGGGAGCCGTCAAAAGAAGGGCAATAGAGCAACAGGAGATGGAATCCGCCAGTAAATTTGCAACAAACGTGGACCGCCACCTGGACGGCATCGAGTATCACCTTCGCCGCATGCGACGTCGCTCCAGTGCAGGCACTCCACACGCCTACAGTGCAGGCTCTTTCAACATGCGTCAAGAGCGGTCAGCGAACCGTTGCAGTGAATCGCAGTATAAAACGGGGCAGTTCGTCCGGCGTCATCCGGGTGGGAGCTCAGCGGCGAGGGACGGGCCACGTGTGTTATGGAACCGCCCCGCTAAGAATTTTAACACGTCGGCTTCGTCACCACCACCATCACGGCATCCCCTACAAGTGAAGAAAAGAGGGAACGAGGGCGGTAAGGGCAAAGTTGTCGTGCCGTCTGCTGAAAAAAATTGTTTTTCAAATCCGTTGGATGACCCCAAACCAGCGCCGCTGTCAAGAAAAACCAGCTCGTTGCTAAGTGCCAGTTTATCAACGGTGCCGTCTTCATTTTCCCCTTCCTCGACATCTTCAACCTCGCCGTCTTCACGGCGACGGCGGGCTATGGCATTATCGAGCGTCTCCTCTAATTTAACTTCAGACACTCTTGTATCATTTTCTTCGCTTGAAATGAGTCCGGCTGGGGAGATCGCGACAAGATGGCTGCAGTGGCGTAGAGCTGCCTACTACCTCCTTGCCTCCCACTACGAAAAGTGTTGCGCCGTATTGACGCGCATGAGGAAGTTGGGGCCACAGAAAGGAGCTTCCAGAAAGAACAAATTTGAAATGTTCAGTGAAGAAGATAACGAAGAAACAAAAAGTTTAACAAGTCCGAGTGAGAGCAGTGATTCAATAGACGATCTCAGCGATGGCGAGCAAACGTCGGATACAATTCAAAATGCACCTATGTCTAATCTCATTGCAAAAAGTCAACATGTATGTATAGCATTGGAACGTACGGCGAGGCAGCTCGCAGCGCTTTCAGAAGAAGAGGCTGCGGTCAGACGCGGAATAGAGGACGAGGCCCTGCGTGCTGCTGACGACCTTGAGCGAGCATGGAACCGCAGCATGAGGGGTGCCACTGTGCGCGAGCGACAGCGACGCCTTGCCGCGCAGGTAGAATTGGAAGCGGCCAAAAGAGTCTACATCCAGCGCAAGTGTCGTATAATCGAGGGGGACGAGGCAGCTCGGCGAGGCGCCATCGAGCGGGTCGAGGAGGAGGAGCTCATGGATTTGCTAGAAGCGATGGAGCAGGACGCCTGGGCGGCATCGGAGAAGGAGACGGAACGTACGGCGAGGGCCTCGGAGTCCTTAAAGGCACATTTGCTTTCCAAATCAGAGTTGGTTGTTGCTGCTGTCTCTCAGCGAAAGGAAAAAGCGGTACAAACAACGCAAAAACTGGTCACAGTGAAAATGTCACAGACGGAAGGAGAAGTGTGCATTGAGAGGGAGGGGATGGTGCAGAATCAGCCCACGGCACCGAAGGATAAATCAGATCTTGCGGTGGGTCGCTGGCGACAACTTGGCTTTCTTGGGCAGTCTACGCATACCGACGGGTTGCGTGCGGCGGATTCCTCGGAGAGTGTCCCCGTAGAAACTTCAAGGGAAGGTGGAAATGGAGTGAGTGGAGATGTTGTTGGCGATTACATCTCTCCATGTTGTAGCAAATACACGCAGACACCTCCGCCAATATACGTCTCCGTGCAGACTTCTGCTGATATCCCGTATGTGACTCTGCGTGGGCCGGAAAGCGAGCCGCACGTCCCTGCGGAGGCGGCTGCACCGAACCTCGAGGTACAATTGGCCTCAGAAAGTTCTCGCGACCTGTCGCCCCGTAAAGCTGAGTCTGGGCCGTCGAGGAGCTCAAAGTGCGCAAAGGCGACAGCCTCGTTGGAAACCTCGCCTGGGAGTGGGGTGGACATGGAAGAGGAAGAACGTGCAACCGGGTCTGTTGAGGAGCGTCCCGTGCTGGAGGTGGATTCGCCGGTCTCGCACGCAACGAAGCCGCAGTGTTCCCCGCGTGTGTCGCATGCCTCTTGGAGGGAAACTGTCGTGAGGGATGAGGCGAAAAGTTTAAGTGAAACCGGTTCACCGCAGCCCGTGGACTCCGTTCGCGAAGCTGTGCGGAACCTGCGAGGGAAATCCGCGCGTAGACGTCATGGCGGGCGTGTTCTTTTCCCTCCTGTGGATACGCACCTTTCCCGGCAGGACAGTTGGACAAATGACGACGATCGACAGGTGTTTTCACCGCGTTGGGGTCTTAAAACATTTGATTTTGAGTGGAGCGATGAATTTAATTTATGCAGCTCCGCTGCCCGTGATCTTGTGCGCGTGGAAGTGCGGCACCGGCGACATGTGGAGAGGCGTGAATTGCTCGAGCGCAATGAGGTCAGGTGGGAGGAGCTAAACCACTACCGTGCATGGGCGGCACGACAGCGCGAGTTACTCATATCGGTGGCAGAGGCAGCGGATGAAGCAAACACATGCAACAAAGAGGTAGAAAAAGAAAAAGAAGAAGAAGTGGCATACGAGCACGGGCATTTTTTGGCAGCTGACGCCGTTACTCCTGTTGTTCATGCACCAGAATGGATACATGAGGCGGATGAAATAAACGACGAAAAGGAAGACATTTTGCCTCGAACAGAAGCTCCACAGCCCGCTGTTGCGGTGAACCGATGGCCATCCACCGCGTGGAGTGTCAACATGACAGGCAAAACACCCGGCATTCCGCCGCATCTTCGTAATCGCCCGTGGGCGGCAATGCTCACAAGAAAGAAAACTTGTGGTGGTGACAAGTTAACGTCAGCCGTGGGACGTGTCTCTTCGCCGATGTCACGCGGTTACCGCAGGACGCGTACCGTCTTTTCTGGCGATAGTGAGGCGCTGGTGATGAGGGTTCCAACAGACGACACGTGTAATGCTCCTGTGAAGAGAGTGCCGGAGAGTGTCTCGACGAAAAGGTCTGCCATACTTCCAGGTTACGCCCAGCAGTATGAGCGGCGCCTTGTCTGGCAACAGCATCGGCAAGATGCCTTTGGGATGCCGTTGCCGGAGCCCATTTACTGCAGGACAACCATGTCTTTTCTAGAGTCTGCGGAGTGGTGCTACCAGAAAACGTATGTTGATCGATACTTGTACGCATCACCGTCCGCAAGACGACACGATGGAAGTGCCCGGAAGTGTGCTGATGCCATTTGCGAAGAGGTGGGTCGGGTGCACGTAACGTGGGGACTACGGCAGAGGTGATTTATTTCTCTTATGCTCTCTTTTTCCCTTTTTCTTGCTATTTTTGTTGTTGTTGTTGTGTTTGCTTTGAACTACGCCATCAGAAGCAGCAGCAGCATAAGCGGCAGGGACATTGCTTACTCATACAATACCCGCGCCGTTGCTTCCATTTAAAATAAATATCTTCCTGTGCCTGTGCCTGTGGTGTGTGTGTGTGTTTGTGTGTGTATTTCATGTCACCGTCTGCAACGCGTTGTGGAAAATGATGCGGAGGAAAAACAAAAAGGAGAGGAGTTGGATGGCCTTGTCATGTTTTTTCCCCTTCCTGTTTTATACATATACATATATAGCTCTTTGTTTTTTTTTTTTTTTTTTCAGGAAGTTAATTTAATTTATTACGATATCAGTGGCTATTAACATCAAGATTTGCATACGAATTGGTCAATTGGAGTATTACGATCCTGTCTGATAAAACATGAGCCAAATTACGTCGGTATCTGAGTGCAAGAGTGTTGAGGATGAAGTTCTTGTTGTCATGACGGTGTGCAACGAAAAAGAGGGGCCCTCTATGGGGGAAACTTGTAAGCCTGGAAAGAATGATGCTGATGGATGCCCGCAGCATTTACCACAAAATGGATGGAAGGACACATGGGCGTTATTTGCATTTCTGCTTACCGTTGGGATGACTGTGGGGTGGGGCATGACGCTTCCCATTGAAGATGAGATATCCCAGATTCTCCAAGGGATCCCCAATTTATTGGATCGCCACGGACTCGGTGGCGTGAAAGCAGCAGAACTCTACTTTGGCGTTGGCGTGGGGATTCCCTGCGCCGGGATCAGTGCGATGTTATCCCTTCTGCTCTTACAGGCCCTGCCGTCTGCCGCCATTGTACTCAGCACTTTTCTTTTTTCAGCGGTGTTGCTCATTTCATCGGCCGTGGCTTTCTATAAATCGATTACCCCAACAGGCGTCACACTGGCGGTTCTGGGGTTGCTATACCCCTGTTGGCTGTACTTTGTACGAAGTCGCATTGCATTCTCTGCCAATCTTCTCGCCACTGCGTCGTTTTTAACACAACAGATTCCACTCTTGTTTCTTATTCCCGCCATGCTGACGCTTCCCTTCCTTGGGTACATGATTTGGAGTCTGCTGGTTTTACACGCCACCGTAAAACGTGGACAATACAACGATTGTTTGTGGGCAAATTACATTTTTGGATTGACGTCGATATTTTCCATTTTTTGGGCCGCAAATGTTGTTTTAGGCCTCTCACATGTCACGACGGCGGGAGTTGTGGCGAAGTGGTACTTTGCCGGCAGTGAGAACATGCCAGCTCATCCAACTTGGGCATCATTTCAACGAGCCATAACAACAAGTTTTGGCTCCGTCTGTCTCGGGTCTTTGTTGAGCACATTGGTTGGTGCTTTTGGTTGGGTCTGTGGCCTCGGCATTCATTCCGGCAATGAGTTCATTGACTGCAGCATAGCCTGCATTCAGGATCTCTTTGTGGATTTCGTCAACTACTGTAATTCTTACGCCTACGTGCAGGTTGCCATGCATGGTCGCGGGTACATGACCTCTGCCAGACGTGTATGGCGTCTCTGTCAGAATTGCGGGTGCTCCGCAGTCTTCAATGACGCTCTTGTGCTAACCACACTGCGTGTGATGACTGTTTCTATCCCCATTCTCGCTGGCGTGGGCGTGGCCCTCTTCTCGTTTTCCGCGACTATTGGGTCCATTGCGTGTGTCTTGACTGTGATTCCCCTCACGTGTATTTTAAGTGTTGTCTCGGCCGTCGTGCGCAGCATATTTGTCTGCTTTGCGGAATTACCAGAAGGGCTTGAGGCGTCCTTCCCAGAACTACACGCAGCATTAATGGCTACCGATTACGGGTTTGCCTCTATCCACAACCAAGAGAAGGATGACACCCCAGTTTGATATCTATGCGTGCTGCTATTATTATTGGAGAAATAAATAATAGATAAAAAAAAAAAATACAAAAACAAGGCGCGTGTTTTTTGTTGTTTTGTTTTGTTTTGTTTTTTTTTTTCGTGTGCATGTGTGTGTCTGTGAGGAACATACGAATCATCTACCCCTTTTTTCTCCGCATGTTTATGTATCTCTCCATGTATGTAATGAACATGCGTACTTGCCAAATTGGCTCAAAAGTAATTGGAGGAATCCCCGACCTCGTCCCCTCCACCCACAGTCTGTATTTGGCCGTTGTTGTTCTTGTACGTGTGTTTGTGTGTGTTTGTGTGTGTTTTTCCTTTTTTTTTTTTTAATTTATTTCATTTTATTATTATTTGTGTTGTGTTGTCACTGTGCGGGAAATGGAAATGAGAAGAGAAGAGGAATTAAAATTTGAAAAGGAAAAAAAAATAATAACAATAATGATTTAAAATAAAAAAAAGGGGGGAGGAGGAGGAGGAGGAGTATTAAGGGAGGAGAAGTGAATTTCTGTTTATGCGTCTTTTCCCCCCCTTCTTCCTCGCCCCCATCTTTGTTTTTTTTTGTTTTTTTGTTTTTTGCTTCTTTGCTATGATTGTTATTTATGCGTCTCTCTCTCTCTCTCTCTCTCTCTGTGTGTGTGTGCGGTGTGTGCGTATGTATAATGGATGGATGCTTTTATGTTATTACTTGGAACAAAATAAGCCAAAGTTATCTTCGGTGATATCAAAATAATACGGCCAATTTACGTATGTACATTGTTTGTGCTTTGCAGGCCGTACTTTTCTTTTTTTTTTTTTTTTTTTTTTTTTTTTTTTTTTACTTATTTATCCCCATGCATACAGATACAAATATATTTATATATATATATGTAGTCTGTGTATTTTTACCCCTCTCTCTCTCTCTCTTTCTCTCCAGGACGAGGGGGGAGGGTGTGTGCATGCGTTTTCTTTATATGTGTATATGTATATATGCATACACATGTATGTATGTATGTCTGTGTTTGTGTTTTGGAACTGCTCTTCTCATGGCATCTCTCTTTTTTCTCTCACGTTAAAAGGGGGGGGGGGGAGGTACCGGTCTTCTACCCGTACTTGTGTGTGTGTGTGTGTGTGGAGGGAAACACCAGGGGAGAAGTGAGAAGGAGAGTGAAGAATTAAGCAGGTTTCAAAGGAAAGCCAAACGATAATATAAACTAAAGAGGAGACAATAGGTGGTAAGACGTACGTGCAAATATATTTATTTATATTTTTAGATATTTTTAGATATTTTATACAAAAAGAAGAAAACAATAAATGGGGATTTTTTCCAAGAAGCGCCATGGGGAAATGTTGGCCACGGATGAAGAAGGCCGCTGCTTCACGTGGCGGCTGGAAAATTTCTCTAGCTTCAAGTTAGGCACCACATTAGACGGTATGAACGTTGTTGCCTTCACCAAGGCAAAGTTTCACCTCCACATGACGATTGACACAAATGGTAACATAGGGTTGTATTTGCATTACAAGGCAACCGGCATTCCAAAGTACTCGTACTACTTTTCTAACAGCAAGGGTGAGATAATGCGGCGGCACACGGCCCACACAATTCCCTACAACACGGAACGGTGTGGTCACTGGAACACATGCTATCGGCCTGACATTCTTGAATTTATTGGCGAGGATGATGTGCTCTTTGTGAATTTCTGCTTTGATAACGACAGTCTGGCGCTGGTCCGTGTGTCGCCGAAGAATCTGGTGGTGACGTGGACCGTGCCACATCTATTCAGGCAAGTGCTGAACCCGTACTCCTCGAACGGGTTCGTGCACGAAGGCGTTCTCATCGGTTTGAGGCTTGAGATCAAAAAGGAGGCCGGCGCCAACGACGCCTTTGCCCCATACGACGTTCGGAAGATCAAAGATCTTGTTTTCTTCCTCTTCTCTCGCAAGAGGGATGTCCCACCGCACAGTATCGAGCTGCTCGACAGCAGAGGCATGAGCATCGCGAAGCTCGACAGGAAGGAGACACCCGGCGTACAGACGTTGACGGTGTCGAAGGAAGTTCTGTGGGACGCACTCGGGGATGATGGGGAGCTGCAGGTGCGGGTTGAAATTATCTGCAGAGGTAACCCGATTGATGCACTCAACGCACTCAGCGGGTCTCAGTTGCAACAGCAGCAGCAGCAGCAGCAGCAGCAGCAGAGTGAATTGAGAGAGGGCGGTCAAGCGGGGCCGCCACGGACTGTACAGATTGGCGACAAGAAGGAGGAGTACGTGGTGTTTCATGGCGATGATTAAATGAAGAAAAGAAGTTCACCCGCCGTTGCTGCCCGTATTTCTTTGGAGCAGAGTGGATAACACCCGGGAAGTGGGGAGAAGGGGGCGGTGGAAACGATGGGAGTGGGAGGAGGAGGCAGGGCTATTTATTTATTTATTTTTCTTTTCTTTTCCTTGAAGAATGAAAAAATGCTGCATTGCAGGGGGCAGGAAATGGAAGCGCAAGACGTCCCGAACACACAAAAAAAAAAGTGGTGGTGGGGTGGGAGAAGATACGAAGCGGACGTGTATGTGCGCATATGTGTATATATGTATGTAAGTACCTATCCGTATATATATATATATATTGTGTGTGCATGTGGGCTTATGAGCTTTTCCAAAGTGGGGGATGGAAATGAAGGGTGAGTGAGTGAGGCATGAGGGCGTTGGAAATGATAAAAGTCGAATAGAAAGAAAAGAGAGGAAGAGGGAGGGAGGGAGGGAGGGAGTGAAGCCACTACAATGGCGGGGGATGGGGAGAGAGAGAGAGAGAGAATAGGGGATTGACAGTAAAATATGGGGCGAAACGAAAAAAAAAAAAAGTTTTATGTACATGATGGTTTTCTTTTTTATGTGTGTGTGTGTTCTTCACCTGCGCACGCACGCACGGATGTTTTGTTTGAATTTCTTTGTGGATCCTTTATGTGTGCGATGTTTATAGCTACGGCCTGTGTATATACCATACATGAGTGAGGAGCGGCTGGATTCTCTGTTCGACACGGCGGTAGAGGCCGTTGCGGAGCTGGAACGACGTCGTTCGCTGCTCCACAGCTCGCTCCAGGCGGCGCACTTTCTGTACAGTAATGTTCAGTGGGAGATGGACCGTGCGGGACTTGTCCTCGGCTTGGCGGCCGTCCCGGCGCCTGAGGGGGCGGTGTGTCCACAGCTGGGCGTGGCGTGGCGTGCCACGTCGACGGAGGAGATGGACAAGGAAGGGGGAGAAGGGAGCCACGACTGTTATAAGTTGTCCGTGGTGAAAATGGCAGCCGGTGAGGGAAAAGATCCGGCGCGTTGGTTCGCGTCCGTGCCCTCGAAGCGGCTGCGTGCCTGTCAACAGCAATTTCGTGAGGTGCTGAATGCATGCGTGCAGGTCGTGCAGGCGCAGGAGAGAGCACTGGCAGCGGCAGAAAACTATCGCGTGGCGGCGCTCTAGAATAATTGATGCGAATGAAATAATTTTGCCATAAGCTTCTCCCTGCATACAAAATTATTTCCTTCCTTGTTGTTTTTGTTGTTGATGATGATGATGGTTTCTGCCCTGGAGGGAAGTGTTTTTACACGGCAGGCAAGTGGACGGTGTGTTGTTTGCGGTGGCCTTCGATGGGGGATCAACGAACGGAGGTCAACAGGAATGGAAATAAAATGGATGCAAATTAAAAACCCCTTTTCTTTTTTTTTTTTTTTTTCTCTTTCTCTCTTTCTCTTATATTCTTTTAATTTGTTTTATTTCCTCGTGGGACGTTGTATGTGGATGTTTGGGCTTTGTTGCCGTGCCATTTCGCCCTATTTTGTCTCCTGTGTCGTTTACTTTTCTCTTTCACGCTGCACACATGTCCATGTCGGAAAGCCCCGGCGACTGTGTGTAGAAGGGGGTGCGTGTGAGTCTTTGAAATGGGCAAAGCGGGCGGCTTCTTTAAGAGACTGAAAGCCAAACAGAAGCGCAGCGCCTCAAGAAGGCGTCGCGGCACGAAAGGCGCCTCAAAAGAGGAGAGAAGAGTCAAACACAACGAACGTGTTGACTATTATGCCGCCAAACGGGAGGCGGAGGCGCTCGCAGCCATCAGCAGCAGCAGCAGTGATGACGACAATGACGCGGTCTTGAGTGACTCAGAGATGGAGGCGCGCAGACAGGAGCACGCATTACTGCGACTAAGACGCCTAATCGGTGTTGCTGGCGGCTCGAAACGCAGTCGCATGGATGATAGCACAAACAAGGCGAATGGTACCGGCCATAACAGTCGCAAGCATCAGGACGACAAGTGCACAGACGCAACGGAGATGACAGAGCAGCTGAGCGAGGATGATGATTGGAAGGCGTATCTTTCGGAGGAGGATGAGGAGGAACAAGAAGAAGAAGAGGATGAGAAGGATGGTGACGAGGAAATGTCGCTGGATGAAATGCCTGGTGATGATGGCGATGACGATGAATATGAGCCGGAGGAAGAGGAAGAAGAAGAAGAGGAGGGGGAGGATGCTGAGAAGGAGGACGAGTACGAGGACGATGAGAGTGTTATAGAATACAGCGATGATGATGATGATGTCGAGAAGGAAGGGGGAAAACAACGGCAGCAGCGGATGGAAGAAGCGGTGCAGCTCCTGCCGCAATTCCGTCCCGGCACGACGGGCGTGACGGCCCTGCGGCATGTCGTGACCGCCAACGACCCGTGGTTTGTGAAGTACCACCAGGACAAGCACGGCGGTATCGACAAGACGCCCATGCAGTCGCAAGAGGAGCACTGGCGTCAACAGCAGGCGGCAGGTGACGGAAAAATGGAGGATGTTATTCGTGTCGCCAACATCGCTGTGGCCGCCTCTGCCCATGCCGTGCGTCATTTTCTTCACCCGCCGTTTGTTTTTGGCAAAAAACAGCAGCAGAAGCCGCCGTATATGCATGGGACGCTGTGGGCAAAGTGGCTGGAGTACTGCGCCGCGGAGTCTAGGGATCCGATGACGGTGGAGGAGCGTGGTTTGCTGGATCTGCTGCAGGGGTACCCGGATGTCATGGACTGCTGTCGTTCGTGGGAAAATGCGGATGCACGGCGTGAGATCTTCATTCTTCACGCACTCAACCACTGGTTTAAGGCACGGTCTGTGGTGTTAGCGCATGATGCCCTTCTGCAAGAGCGTAGGAAGAATAAAAAAGGGAGGCGGAAGAAGCGGAAGGTTCAGAGCAGCAAGAAACATCGAGGGGAAAAGGAAAAAGAGGAGGGAGATGACGATGCTGATGTCGATCAAGACGAAGAGGAATATGAATTTCGTGATCGTGGGTTTGGCAAAACGAGGGTTCTTATCATGCTGCCCATGCGTAACATTGCCCATCGCTACGTGACAACGCTCGTGAAGCTGCTGCGTGCGACGCCTGATGAATGTGCAAAGTTGTCCACATTCAACGAAGACTTCACGGAGCTGGCGGAGACGGTGGATCCCACCTTCAAACGCCGTCCACGGGATTATCGGCGGCAGTTTGCTGGGAACATTGATGACTCGTTTTGTGTCGGTGTCCGGTTAGAGCCGAGCCGTGTGCGGGTCTACGCCCATCCACTGAACAGCGATCTCATCATCTGCTCGCCGCTCGGCCTTCGGCGTCGCCTGGAGCGCAGCGGTGATGTGTTGGTGTCGCTTGCCTCCATTGAAGTGTGCATCGTGGATGAGGCACATGTGTTGCTTATGCAGAACTGGCAGCACATGACAGAGGTGCTGCGGCTACTCAACAAGCGGCCGAAAGACACAACACACGGACTGTCCGATCTGCGCCGTGTGTACGCATGGGCGCTTGCGGGGCACAGTGGCCGCCATCGCCAGACAATTATGTCTACAAACTTGACGAACGCAACCCTCCTTGCGACCTTTCGCTCGTGTGTGAACAACTCCGGTCGTGTGTTGTTACAGCACCGCGAGGAGGCCGGGGTGTTGGCACAAGTGATGGTGCCTGTGCGGCAGCACTTTCTGCGCTTCGATCCGGGAACCTCGCTGGAGAAGTGCGACGACGCCCGCTTTGACTTCTTCACACGTGAAGTGTACGCGAAGAAAATCAGCCCACTTGTGGAGCGGGATGTACGCACGATTATTTTTGTGCCTTCCTACTTTGACTTTGTGCGGCTGCGTAATTACATGATCCGAGAGCACCGTGACTCCTTCGCCGCCATATGTGAGTACACGTCACTGCAGCACCAGCGCAAGGCATTGGGGCAATTTACGGATCTCGAGCGGCCGCTGCTGCTTGTGACGGAGCGCTTCTACTTCTTTAAGCGCTACTTTGTGAAACTGGCGGAGGTGATGGTGTTCTACAGCCCGCCCCTCTTCCCGGCATTCTACACATCCCTCGTCGGCCGCCTTGTCGCCACATCGCCAAACGCATTTGCGCTGACGCTGTTCTGTCGGTTTGACACGCACGAACTTCACAGGATCATTGGCACTCGACGGACGCGGCAGCTGCTCGAGCGGGAGGCAGACGCCTTTTCTTTTGTGACGAATTAAGTAGCCATCACGTGTGGGAGGAAAAACAACAGGAGGGGAAGACACACACACACAACAAAGAAAGTATACATATATATAAAACGAGGAAAATGAAAGAATTTTAAAAGAAAAAGAGAAAAAGAAAAAGAAAAGAAAACGTTTAAAGAGGAGAACAAAATTATGTATGCACACAGGTGGAATAAAAGAAGGGTGAGAGATGAATGGCTATTTCAGTTTTTGCATATTATGATACATATGAGAGGGAACAAACATGTGTGTGTGTGTGTGTGTGTTGTGTGTGTTTGTTTGTTTGCTTCTTATATGGAATGGATGTGTGTGTAAATAAGAAAAGAAAAAAAAAAGGGACACTTATGCGTGTATGCGTAGATTGGTATCCGTTGAACACTCCCACTCATACTCTCTTCTTGGATACACATACCCATGTGTGTATATCATTAGGTACTGTCGTGCGTGCATGTATGTCTATAGGCTCCAAAGGTGTATCATTGTGTTTCCTTTTCTCTTTTTCTTTTTCTTTCTCTCTATTTTTTCTTTTTTCTTTTGTTATTTTTTGTGGCTTGGTTATGCTTGCATACATGATTTTAAGAGGGACATCATCTTGCAAATTTATAATCTGTGGCAGAGTTGTGTGCAGGTAAAAAAAAAAAAAGTGGTGGGGAAAGGGCTTTTTGTGTGTGTGTCTTGTTTTGTTCTTGGAAGGAATTGAGGAATTTGATTCAATTATTTCCTTCACCCAATATACACATTGGCAGCGAGGGAGAAAGACGAATACAGCGTGTGTGCATATATATATATATATATATTTATTTATTTATTTATACGGAGTAATTTTCACATATGGCAGCCGCGTCGTTTGAGTTTGTGCAGGGAAGTGAGCGTCTGGACTGGGGTGTGCTTGTTGCCATTGATCTGCAGCGACTCATGAAGGACACAAATGTGGACACCCTGCAGCGTATTGTGGAAAATATTGCCTTTGCTCGTGTCACACGTGATGAGGCGGCGATGTTCACCCCGGAGCACATTCTACACCTCTTCACGCTGTGCCAGTTGGTGATTCAGTACCTGGTGTGCTCGCAGGAGTGCCTTGCGAAGATCAACGTAAAGCTGACAGAGCGTCTGCAGGAGATGCAGCACCGTCGTGACTCGGCAGAAGCGGAGCGGGAGAAGCTGCACGAAGAGAATGTCATATTACGCAAAGAGGTGAAGGCGCAGAGACGTACACTCCTGGCGTATGAGTACGCCAATAGTGCGGGTGGTGGTGTTGGAATGACAGCACTGGGAGGAGGGCAGTCGTATATTTGCCCACAGTGCGGTGATGCCTACACAAAGAAGGAATCTCTTCAATCGCATGTACGCAAGCGACATGCGGCGGTGAAGAACGGAGCATCACCCCAATCACAGCCACAGGAAGTTGAGAAGACCGCGTACGAGGCGCAGCTGTTGCAGCAGCGACAACTCCAAGAGAAGGTAGAGAAGCTGGAGAACCTCCTGGAGAAGGAAAAGGAGCGTAACGACCGGATTCAGCATGACAGCATGATGATGCTGATGCAGGCTGCCATGGGCGGGGCACAGACAAAGACGCCCTCTCCATCGCCAATGCCACCACCACCACCACCAGCAACAGCAACAGCGGCAGTCGCAGCAGCACCAACAACAACACAAAAACAACAAACTCAAGAAACGTTGGAGCGGTCGCCGCAGTTTCATGCACCCCCACTGCAGGTACCACCTGAAGTCTCCGCCATTCCCGTGATGCCAGACATCGCCGCTCTTCAGCGGTACAACATGACGCGGCAGCAAGAGGCAGCGAACAACGCCCTGCTGCGGAAGATATCCGAATTGGAAGCACTTATATGCGATCTGAAGAGTACAAAAAAAGACACAGCGGAGGCACGCGCCGCTCCCGTCCCCGAGCCCGCCCGCACAACCGTTACGGCCACACCACCGATGGAAGTGTCGTCTCGGCCGCCACCACCACCATCGACACAAACAAAACAAAAAGAACAACAACAGTCATCGACATGAAATCGCACAATC